CACAAAGCCCTTCCTGTCTGCCTGTAGTCGTCGGCCTGAATGCCTGGGCTCTAGGACTAGCCCGCATTGCAGGGTACAGTTTGGGGTTTACGCTCTCACAAATCGGACAAGCCAGGCGAGGTTCATGGTGCGTAGGTCGGGCGTGAAACGGCACCACGTATCCCCTTGCAGAAAAGCCCAAGTCCACAAACCAACATCTAAGACCCTTACCATAAAAGTGGCCAGGAGGGGACACGTAACTTTTTTTTTGTCACATGCGAGCGCGGCAAAGCGTAAGCACGTTGAGAGCCGCTTGAACGCAGGCGTCCGTCCTTCGACGACTCCCTCGACTTCTTCTTCTTCACGAGCGACGATTCTGTTCTCAACGTCCACGAGGTCCTCCTGGCTGCCGTGCAGCTCCTGAAAGACCTTGAGTCTGATGATATCCCGGGCCATGGCTTTGCAGTTTTCGACGCATCCTCCGGAGTCGCGCAGACTGCGGCCTCGGCCTCTAAGTCAATGATCTTTCGGGCCTCGAAGGCCAGGCTCTCAGCCTCAAGATCTCACGAACTGTCTCCTCCCTGTGCCTCACTTTGGGTGAGGTGGCCATGGCACTCGATGGGAAGCTTGGCGCTGCCGCCGCTTCCTGAAGTAGCGAGATGTCAAAAAACCGCTTGAACTTCTCCTTCCAAGACAACTCCTCTTCCGTGGTGGTCGTGGCGGTCGTGGCAGCCCCTGAGGTCGTCGGATGATAGCACTCAGCGCCGGTAAAATTCTTTGCCAGCGACCGAGCACTTGCACCACTCAAAGTAGCAGTCGCGTACTTGTGGGAGGGCAAGTCAATCAACACGATACTCCCAAGATTTCGGTCGCCACCTCCCTTGAACATCTGTGGATCCCATCCGGGCAGTCGCAGCGGCCGGTTTCTATAATTAACACAAAACGTCCCAACATAGTCGGCTGAAGAGAAGATCGTCTGCACGGAGTGATGTTCTCCGAGATCCATGGAATGAACTCCATGGGTCATTTGTTCATGGCCCCTCAGAAGTCTCTTCAAATTCTTGCTCTTCAAGAACTCGAGGGTGACATCCCTCCCGTACTTGTAGATGCCGGGGCCACGCGGGGAATCACGCCATCCATTGTAACGATGTGGATCTGACCAAACCATCGCCGATCCCATGTCTTCGGTCAAGCACCGCTTGAAGTCGCCCCCGAGATCCTTGCAGGCATTCGCGAACGTGAGTTGCCATGAACTCATCCTCGGCAACGGCAACGAAGGGCAACTTGGCGAAGACTGCGTTGAAGGTTTGCCACAGCCGACCTTTTCCCCCCGCGATCCAGAAAAATCATTTGTTGACTGAGCCTCAAGGTTGCCTTGGAGCAGGATTATGCCGGAAGGGCATAATGCCGTGTAGGCGAGCAGGAGCATCACGATCTCCACGCTTCGCTCACCCCGATCCACATAGTCGCCCATGAAGATATACTGAAACCTTCAGTCGCAGATGAAGAGCTGGGACTCCGGAAGCTTCTCGTACTCTTTCAAGGCCTCCGAGTTGAGAAGGAGCAGGCGGAGGAAGGCCAGCAAGTTGAAAAGCTGCCCCGTGCAGATCTCCAATCACAACTTTTGCCTGCGTAGCCGTGCGAATCCAGCTCGGGCTGGAGCGCTTCACTAGGTAACATGTCTCAAGAAGGCGTCGATCTCCATTGCAGTCATTCCAGGTACTTCGGAGTAGTGGTCGATCTTCGTCAGCGCCGTCTCCTCCATACTTTTCACATACATGGCGGCTTTCTCTTTCAGGTCATACGTGGAGGTGGAACCCAAAGAATGGGCGTAGCCTATGCCGGTCGCAAATGCCACGGCAAGAAGCTTCAAAGCCATGGCGTCGCACTATGTGGGACAGTCAGACAGGTGTGGGTAGTACTCGCAAGTGCGTGGCAACAGCTTGAGCCGTAGCCACAGTTTGGAGTTTAGGGTTTAGGGTTTAGGGTGCAGTGCACCAGACCCCGCATTTTTGCACGAATCGCAATCGCTCCGGTCGCATTCTGGAGATCTACAGGAGTATAGTGCTGTTCGGGGTGACTTCAGCCTGTCTGCATATTGCAGGGTTGCTTGCAGAACGGGGAAGGCCGCCAGGCCCGACTACTCCATCACTCCTCCTACCAAAGGGGCCGGAATTCTTGATCGGCTGGCTTGTTTTCTGCCTCCCGCTTGGCTACCAACCTACTATTCAGGGAGCACGACAAGAAAACCTTCTGGTTGTAGGGTTTGGGAGTTTGTGACGGCTTGGGCTTTCACCTATGCCCGCACATCCACGTAGGCATTCACACAAAAAGACTGTCCCACCTTTACTGCTCTTCGTCTTGCTAGCTTGACTGTTGGTGGCTGCCTGCATTCATGCCGTTCAACGATTGGAACCGCGATTTTTGAGGTCCTTCTGGAGTGTGGAAGCGGCTAAGATTACCAAATATTATTCATCCTGGTCAGGTCCTCCACCCTTTTGACTCTAAACCCCCTGTATTCTTCAACTCCCTATTGACCCCTAAACCCCCTGTTTTATAACTCATCCTCCCCTCAACTCTAAACCCCCTGTAATATATCCATCATCCTCTGCTTCCGCCGGGAATCCGCAGCGAAACCTCGGCGGTCGCCTCCCAGTTTCCGGGATTTCGCAGCTGGAGATCCGAGACGTGGACGCGGGCGAGGTCGTCCCCTGCACTTCATGGCTTTTGCCTCCTACGGGCTGAGAGTCGATTCATTTCTATAGTACATTTTGGCTTTCGGCGCTTGATTTCGACTTCGACCCTGCTGCGATTCGGGACCACACACCACCGAAGGCTTCACGGAACAGTTGCAGTCTGCGAAGACTTTTTTGGCGGAGACTCTATCCGACTCTAGCCACTCTTGCCTTGTCATGTTGCAATCTGAGTAGGTCGTCATACCGCCGGGTGCAGTGCAGAGCCGTCGCGACACCAAGCACAAAAGGAAGAGCATCACGAGCGCTGACAAGAAGCATGCCAACTAAGCATGATGTCGCGAAATGAGCTTAAGAAATCCACGTCCTTCAAGAAGCCAGTGGCTTCAAAACCCAAGTTTGTGTGAATTCTGCCAAGCTGCGTATATCCTTGGCTCGCCGGCTACTTTCGCAGGAGTGCTCTGCTTGACTGACTATCGGGTGGCCTATGCTGTCATACCGCGAAGTCTTCACTCACTGTTAGTGTGCTGCTGCCCTATTTAAAGCCGGGGCGACACTTCAGAGAAATTCCGAACTTAAGTGCGACAACAGGACCACTCGTTGAAGTAGTCTCCGCAATGCTACGAAACGGCGTCACGCAGACAGCAAGGCCGAGCCACGATGTTCTCCGGAACCACTTCTAGAGGCCTCGACTCCCAAAGCTGCTCAGCGTTTACTGCGCAGGCGTTGGCGCAGGGCGTTGGGGCTTAAGCGGATTAAGGGTTGTGCGACCACGCTCTTGGGCATTTCGGCGACTCTAGGACACAAACAAGGCAGACTGCACCCGCAGAAATCACTTCCTCGGTGCTGCTGTCTGCCGTTCGCCATGCCCTCTCCCCTTCTCCGACCCCGGTACTTCAAGAGCAATCAGGAGGCCGCTTTCGTGGAAGTGTACCGCTCAGAAACTGGTCGTGTCTCTGTGATTTCAAGGCAGATTGGTTTTCCCGAGTTGGCAGCCAAAGTGACATCGGCACTAACGCAAAATCAGACGCCGTTAGGATTTCATAGGGTCCTGAGGGGTGCTGTGCGGTTTTGAAGGGTCTTCCCGGGCTTTGTGGAATTTGTGAAGCTGCCGAGGCGCGGTTGAGGATCACCGGCATTCCCGCCCCCGCCCCCTGCGTGCCGCCGCCGGCCATCAGCACGGCGTGTTGACGCAGGAGCTGCGGCCTAGATTTAGCTGCTCTTACCTCTGCGACCTAGACTTAGCTGCTCTTACTCTTGCATACCATCATAAAGAGGGTCCTTAAAACTTACAAGAGGGTTGTGGCGTATGTAACGCAACAATCACTCGAAGGCACTCTAAGGAGTGATGTTGATAACCATTTCGGCCCCTACGCAAAACTCCTCTGGTTTCGGTTTCAGGCGTAGGTAACTGGAGCCCTCTTGCACGGTAGTTCGGCCTGGAAAGACAGCGTCTGTTTTGTTTGGGAGCTGAGCTTCTTAGTTAATCTTTGATACCTGAGCATGGGCCATGAGCAAATTTCAGCTCTACTCTTCTATTGTCACTACCAGCTGTCTATTCTGTGAGTTAATCAGTCTGCAACACTCATAACTCTTCCTGTTTAACGCGAACGATGACAATGCAAGCTTTTCGGTCTTAGGGCGCCAAGCCACAGCGACCGCAATGTGAAAAAGCAGGAGCAGCAACAGTCGGCGAAAGAGCATGGTGTCCCGCGCAGCGTGCCATCTCCGCATCTACGGATTCACACCCGTCTATCAAAGCAGCTGAAAGCAGCTCATAGCTGGTGTATTGAGTGACAAGTCCCTCGGCTCAGCATGGCGCGGGTCCACTATGGAGCTCTTGCCGTGGGCGACTTTTTGAGAATTGTTCCAGTACAGGCCCTGAAGTAGCCCGCAACCTTAGACCCTGAACCCTAAACCCATAAACCCCAAAGACCCTAGACCCCCTTGAGCTTTTTGGATGTGGTTTGCGAGAAGGGCTGGGTGCAATATGCACGGGCCGCCGGAGGCCCTTGAGCCATGCAGAGAGATCTTGGACTCGCGGAAGCAGGGCATCTACTACTGCTAGGCTGCTGAGTGTTTTGGGTTTTAGCGTTGCAGGGCTTTCGGATTTAAGGATGTAGTTGGGGTCTATGAGCAGTTTTGGGGGACTTCCGTGCTGGGTTTTCAGTACATTACATCAGGTGGGGTGGCACCTACACATACCTACACCTTCAGGCTGTCCATGATTGTCAGCAATTCGGAAAAACGAAATCCGAGCAAGGCTGGATCTAGCGGCAAACCCTCGATGACGACCCCGCCTATGCCTTGAATATGCAATGTACATAACTACCTGCTTCCCACAAACTCCTGAAGGCACAGTCGCCACCCCTCGTCGGTGATTGAGTAGTCCTGGGATGGATTTGGGGGTTGCGCCAGGATCCCTAGAAAAGCTGCAGCTCCATCAAGCGTTGATGCATCATATCACGACAAAGGCAAAGAGCGAAATGACATTGCCTACACCCGCCCGCAATCTATAGCCACTTCGAGCACCGCCTACGTGCTTTGCCACCCATATAATCGCAGAGCACTTCGGCCTGCCTGCAACTCCTAAGCTTCTTGCACCAACCTGCATCAATGTGCATCTCAGCAGCCGCATCCCACTTGATCACTCCGGAAGGCACAACGTTCTCCGGGCCGATTTCTCCGCTGAAAGCAATGCCGTTGACTTCCAAAAAGTCGTACCTGGCTTCCTGAGCGCTCACTGCCGTCAACTGTGCTGCGAACCCCAATCCCATCCCATTACATCCCATCCCATACATAGCGTAGCGTGGCATAGCATAGCATACCACACCGCAGCACAGCACAACATACCTAGTGTGAAAGAACATAGCACATAAGAACATAATGCAGCATAGCATAACATCACAGCATAGCATTGCTAATCAAACAGCATTAAAGAAAAGCATAACAACATGGCAAGGCATAGATAGCATGCCAAAGCATAACTTAGCATACCTGCACGTACATACATGCATGCATGCATACATACATAGATACATGTGTACATGTGTACATGTGTATGTATGTACATGAATGCATCCAAGCACACATCCACACATGTCACATGTGTTTGCAGTACATTCACGTACTTGTGTCTGGATTCTGCAGCTGTTCACAAAAACACAAAGACGCAGGTGCGCAGATTTCGATACACAAGCACCGACACCGATATCATGTTCATGGTTTATGTAGGCTCCAATGTAAAGAGAGAGTTTGTGTCTATGTGCAGATATATACATGCAAATGCATGCCTGCAGCTCGTTTGTTGTACGCCTATGGCTATTGAAATTGATGTCAGTCGATTCTTTACCCCTTTCTCGACTTCCCCGTCAATCTAGCTGTGCGGTTGGTTATATAATTGGCGCCTATATGGGCCCGTGTATTTACACACATGATTGAGGGTGGCAAAGTCTCCACGTGCTCCAGATTTTCGACACGGGGTGTCTGCAACGGTTGGTGACTTTTTTGTGTTGGCCTTCGGATTTACGACGGCCCGCACCACTACAACGAGAACCACAAACACAAAGCAGGTGAACAACCATCAAGACGATAGCCACAACCAAAACCCTCTAAGTTGCAGTTTGCGCGACATTATCCCAAGACTGCCCTATGAGGACATGCTTCATTCATTACATTCACAGAGTCGCACACCATGATCCACGGGTAGGGATACTGTTTCGCACCGCAGAAACAACTTCCTTCTTTCAAGGGCCTCAAAGATGAAAGTGGTCAACACATCAGGCTATCCGACCTCCGCCAAAGGAAATGCCCTAGGCTCCCTAGACATGGGTGCAGTAAACCCTCAAGTTCGGCACGAGTACGCCTGCGTGGCCAAACTCATTGAACCATCGGGCCCATTTCAGATAAAACAACGCATCACCCCTCGCAAAAAAGGGTTTAGGTTTTTTCCCACGTGCTCAGCTGACTACGTCGCACCGCCGGGAACTCGTTCGACGAGGTTTAGGGTTTTTTCCTTTAGGCTCTCACAACTCGGACATGCCAGGCGAGGTTCATAAACCTTTAGGGTTTAGGGTTTAGGGCTCGCAAAACAATTCCCAGGCCCTCTGGCACTTGCCATGAACTACCAGCACACTGGAATCTCCGTTAAAATCTGCACTCACCCACCCCAAACCCCCATTTTTTGGAAGCCGGACCTGATAACTGCCAGCACTGCCTCCTCTGCGATTCTTCAGCCGAGGCCCGAACCCCTGAACCCCAAACCCTGAACCCCAAACCCTCAAACTCCTAAACCCCTAGCCCCTGAACCCCTAAACCCTACTGGTTGTCCAAGCATCTGTGGAGAACTGGGCAACCATGATCGCCTTCGTGTTTCCAGGGGCAACCTCCAGGGTCTCCGGGGGCTGCTCTTAGTGTTCAGTATGTACGATGTCATACTATACACTGCAAAATATTATAGTATATTGTGGCACATTATAGCATACTATGGTATATGATAAAGTGTATTGTGGTAGTGTAGTGTGGTATATGAGAAAATATTACTAAATAATACTTTGAGGTATATTATCGTACGTATGCCGTCGTATTTTGTTGTTCCATACATTATAGTGATTTATGGTATGTTCTCCTACATTGCACTATATTCTGCTATGTCCTGGCATGTTGTGGCGTAGTATTGCATGTCAGAGTATATCAAAATATACTAATAGCATATACTATAGCAGGTTATCGTGCACTATAGCAATCTTCAAGGCTTAGGGTTGGAGGCCCAGCTCCAAATATCCGGAACCGCCCCAACCTCTGCCCAGACGTGGACATTAGCCGAAGGTAGCGGAACGGAAGCGGAGTTCCCACCAGATCCCTCAACCCCCAAGCCCTAATCTTTTTAGGGACTTTAGGGACTTTAGGGAGTTTAGGGAGTTTAGGGACTTTGGGGGTTTGGGGGTTTGAGGATTCCCCAATCCCCATGATGACCCTTTTGGGGGGCCTCAATCTCGCAGTCTCGGTTGTTGTTGTACCTGGAGGGATACCGCGGGCTCGTAGCACAGCCATCCGAGTCAATCTTGCAGTTCCTTGGCACGCGCACAGCATTTGCACCATGCCTGGGATTTCGGGGAGGAGCAGGGGCGAACAGCTTCTTCGTTCAAACCGTGAAGCAAACCCACAAATGAGCCTAAGTTTCGCTAGATGCTCGCCAATCATGACACGGCTCATGCAGATCACACACAAAGCCCTGAATGCCTCAGCAGCACCGGCACTGCCCCATGGCTATGAGTCCTTGACCACAATGTAACAGCCAGTTCCGCCAGAGTCACTCAAAAAACGAACGGCCCGGGGAATCTGAAACAAAAAACGAGCCACCTAGGTTGGACCCTATGCTTAAACGTAGAACCTGGCAGCTTAGGTCTCGGTCCGATGGGACCATGGGATTAAAGAAGGAAACGGGGTCGGCGCAAGGGCCTGCGAGTTGGTAACATAGGCTCCTATAAGTCCTGAAGCCGCAGCTTCGGTGCACTGGGGGATGCGTTGGGCTTTAGGCTGGGCGGTTGGGTGATCCAGCGGAGTCCAATCTTGCCTTCCAGGTCAGCACATCCTAAAGCCCTGATAGGGGTGCCTTTTCCTTGGCACCCTTCTCGATTTGTGTGTAGCATCACTTCGCAGGGGCAGTGCTAATCCATTGGGTATGAAAGTGATGGGGTGTTTAGTGCAGTGCAGTTTTGGGGTGCATGTGGGGAAGAAGGGGGTGACGAGAATAACAGCCCTCATGAAGAAAACATACGGCATCGGGCGTCGGGGAGCCCGAGGGAAATCGCGGGACAGCACTTGGCAAGAGCGTCTCACAACCGTCCAAACCCCACATATCCCAAGAGTGAACCACCTGCAATTCAGAGACACCTCCCGGAACCAAGCCACCCGGAGGTGACCCACCAGTCGCCGTCGCCATCTCCTCGCACTCTGGCCCCAAAGAGCCATATCAGCAGGCATCGCCACATGGCTTCTCGGCTTTCGGATGTTTGGTGGGATATCTGGAGCTTAGACCGGAATTCAGTTCTGCTTAGCGAGAGGTGATTCTTCAAACTTGTGCTACCCACTCTGCTGCAAACCCTCCTGCAACCTTTGAACCACAAAAAGCCGGGAATCAAATGCTCCTCGTTAGATTGTTAGGTGTTCCTCGATCACTAAGGGCTTCAAGGGTTCTTGATGGTTCTTGCTTGCTGGAGCATCATGTGCTGCCCCTGTTCCCCTTGGCTCGACAGCTTCGGACAGAGCAGGGCAAACCGCAGCAGAATTGACCAGTCTTTCGATCGCACGACAGCGGCTGAGATGTGGGAATGTGGAACAAAGGAGCATTGGTGACAGCAGCCCGCCACTACAGGACGATCAACTGCACCAAAGGAACGCTTGTGTCCTTCCCAGATGCCTTGATGCACATGCAGGTGTATCCTTTCGGTACAGAAGCTGTCCACGATGGACCCTCTTAACATGCAGACAGTTAAGCCCACGAGCCAGACCCCATCAACGAATTCGGGGAAGCACATGAAAGATGCCCCTGATTCTGGCGGCTACATTGAAGGGGGCAACCTAACCTACGTTGGAACCCATGTACAACAGAGCCATCTCAAGGCTATTTTTCTCACTTGGGCGTATGACCTGCGTCGTCCGCCAAGAACCCATGGCAGTGTCCGCGAAGGATACTCCCGACTCGCCTGGCAACCATGTAGACCAACCCCCGAGTCAGCAATCATCAGAGTGCAATATTATATTATATCTTGACACCCGTGCGTTGCCAGGCTACGGCTACGGATGAACAGTTGAAGCAGCTTGGAAACCGCTTCTGGCCGATTCTGGCCGATGGCACCTACTGACTGCAGTCGCAGCAAGGGTCAACACAGTCTTACTGAGGCTTCTAGCATGCGAACACAGCTGGCGATGTCAGCACCTGTGTTCCTAGGCGAAGCAGCACACAAGAAAACTACTAAAACGAAACTCAAATATGATAGAATGGAATAGACTACATGATAGAATGGAATAGACTATATGATAGAATGGGATAGACTACAATAAAGCGTCCAGCGCGAAGCCCCTGAGCACCGTCCGTGATGCCTGGCATGCAAAAAACGACCTTGCGCTTCGTTCACCCAGCTGGGGACTGGGGACCAAGCTTCTCCCTCTCTCTCGCTCTCGCTCTGTGTCGGGCTATGTGGTTCAGATGTCGCCTTTTGCAGACCGAAGGCCTGTTGGGTGAAACATGTGCCTACTTTCTACAAGTCATAACTCATTGGTTCCGGGGGGGGTGTTGAGATCATTGCCCAGAGACTTGATGTGGGCCACCTCTCAGACAATTGTCAGCAGAAGAAACCACATCTCCGTAAGGGTCGAAGCTGCGGCCAATGCTGATTTGGAAGAAGAACGGATTCTTGGCCGAGATTGGCTGAGGGCGCACAGACGAGATTGCAGGGCGCGTCTCAGACAGTTGAGTTGCTCCAACTTAAAATGCACGGAAAAAACCGACAGGGTCGTGTCTTGCTTCGATTGGCATGGAATGAACTGCAGAAGAAGCCGCAACTCCACCAAGCTTCGAAGCGTTGGTTAGATGTCAGATTTCATAAAACATCTCTGGCATTCGAGATGTTCGGCGACGAGGAGTTGCGGAAAGAAACCACAACTCCAACGGCTCGAAGTGCTGGCGAAAACTGGAATGGCGGAGCTGCCTCGTACGCATCTCCTGGGGAGTCCACAACCTCTGATGGATCTAGCTCTCTTGGCTATCAGAGCCCTTCGGCTCACGAGCAACCTGGGCCCTGGCTCGTGCGGCTCGCCTTTGAGCCTTGTGTGCCTCGAGCTGAATTCGATTCCGGCGCGTCTTGGCTTCTTTCTTGCTGCAGAGATGGCAGTGGTCACACGCATCGCCTTTATGGCATCCATCTGCTTTTCGGGTATGGTAGAGGCACGGAATGCATTGGCCAATCTGGTGAAGCACAAAACCAGGAGAGCCTCTGACTTCATAATCCTCGCCAGGCCGAAAACGCGGAGCAGGCCGCATGGCTTCCGCTGGGTCGGCTTCCGCTGGGTCAGCTTCCTCAAATTCTGTTAGCAAGCCATTTTTGGATAGTCGAATTCACGATGACTGGACCTCCGAAAACACCCCGCTCGACTTGATCAACAGAAAACTTTCAAGCCCCGAATCCCAAGACAACTATGCAAGCTATGCATGAAGAGCGGAACTAGCAGCAGCAACAACAACAACAACCACCAACAGGAACACCAACACCAGTATCAACACCAGCACCAGCACCAACACCAAACACCACCACCAACAACAACAACAACAGCAGAAACCAACAGAAACAACAGAAACAGCAAACAGCAAACAGCAAACAGCAACAGCAACAGCATCAACAACAGCAACAGCAACAGCAACAGCAACAGCAACAGCAACAGCAACAGCAACAGCAACAGCAACAGCAACAGCAACAGCAACAGCAACAGCAACAACAACAGCACCAGCAGCAGCAGCAGCAGCAGCAGCAACAGCAACAGCAACAACAACAACAACAAGTTTTATTGGACGCTGAGCGAGCTGGCTCTGCTCATAGCGGGCGAATTGCCACTGCCATAGCACCAGCTGTACAAAGCAATCGGAGCTGTAAAATTGTGATTGCCCAGTTTGGGTGTCACCTGGTCTGAGCTACCGCAATCAATGCCCTACACTGTTGGGCGATGCCCAGTTACAGACTCGAGCGGTACTCGGTCGGGACTGCCTTGTGTCAAAGACTTCAGCTTGACATGAACATCTCAGCAAGCATTCAAGATCTGTCATCTCAGGTTGGAGCTGTGCGGTGCAAGGCGATGGGCCGTAAGATGCCAACGGTGGTGTTGAAGCGGACGATGGCCATCTCACACATGACGCTGACCTGGACTGCGCCCAGGCAAGGAGTATAATTTCATACCATCGAACCCTGTGCATTGCTGGTGCAAGCATTTTGCAAAATGTGTCTGCCGTAACTCGTATATGCGGTCAGCCAATGGCTCGCCAAAAGAAAAATGTGCGTTGGCTAGGGCAGCATCTCAATGTTGGGAAATGAAATATATTTTCGTTGCAGGCAGGCCGAGCGAGCAATTGCCCGCCAATCACCCCAGCCATGCGATTCATCTTCTTCAGGAGGTGGGGCTTGGCGTTTGCGATCACCAAGCTGAATCCTCTTCAGTGCCCAATCAAGGAGCAGATCCCACCCAATATTGGCCGCCTTCTGCTTCTGAACTTGGGTCAGGACGCCCAAACGGCACAGCGCACCGCCCGTGGGGCGCAAATACATGAGCACTACAGCCGCACGAGAGGAGTCAAGTCCAACTGGCACCACACCGCCCAAGAAGAACATGACAGACGCCAGGTTGCACGAATCCCAAGCATCACGCCCTGGCACGGCTTGGCCGAACAAACCAGCAGACCCCTGGGGCCAAGGTCCAGTCACTTCCCCCGAAATCACGGAGAAGCCCTACAAGGGCAGCACGGCACCGCCGCGTCAACCTCCCATCCCGCCTACTATGGCTGCTTTGTCGAGTGGGTGCAGGCCGTTGCGGACGTCCAATCCCTGTCAGCACCTGAAGTCCTTGGTATCTTGAAGGCTGAGGAGTACATGGCCATCTGGCGTTCGCGCATGGCAGCACTCGCCAACCCCCCCATGGTCCTGCAGGACTTGGCGCCACAGGGCCTGTGCGAGACCCAGCAGGCAACCAATGCGGGACGTCGGAAAGGGCATTGCCCTCGCCCACCTTTTGGCTGAGGGTACTACATGCAATGGTCCACAAGGGGATCAGGGAATCCTTTGCAAAACGACGCGTCAGCGACAGTGACTTCAAGCTCTTTGCCATCGCCTTCCAGACCGTTTACAACACCGCCATGAGCAGAGTCGGCAACCCTTCCAACTGTGTGATTCAGTATGCCTGCCGGGAGCAGAACACACAAGCTACTCTCAAGCTTACACACGGTAAGACTCTTGGCCCTAAACTGAGAGCTATGACAGGCTCAAGTGACCAGGTCCTCTTGTAAACATAAAAGCATAGGCTGGAGAAAAACACTGTGGCATAGTCGGCTCGCGCAAGACTAGGTGTAACCCAAGAAAAGCATAGGCTGGAGAAAAACACTGTGGCACAGTCGGCTCGCCGTCCGCTTGATTCGCAAAACTAGGTGTAACCCAAAGTACTGCTCCCTCCACCGCGCGGAAAGATGGAAACCCTACTGCTTGCCTCCAGCTCGTCCAGAACTTGCTGTCGAAGGAGGCCCGGGAATTGGGACCCGGCAGTCCGCAGAGGCACCAGGCTCCAAAGCGCAAGCGGAAGGACGTCCCTACGCTTCGCAAAGGAGCCCGATGCAGACCTTTAGAGTTGCTCCCAAAGCCAGGTTCGCACAGCTAAGATGCCTCCGGACTCTGTGAACCGTAGCGGCTACAACAACCACAACAACAACAGCAGCAGCAGCAACAACAACAACAACAACAAGAAGCACCACAACCGACCACAACCCGCAGTAAGGAAACAGCGGAGTCCTGCAAGTGTTGCAGAAGTCCTTGCTCGAAACCTGTAATGTTGAAGCCGCAAGACCTACCCTTAACGCTGATTTCTCAACACTCTCCTGCGAATGCTCCAGCTCCTCATCCTTCGAAGCAGCAGGGGATTCCGAGAAGAGGTCAAGGATGTTCTTGCCCTCTGTCTTCTCGGAGGTCTTCCCCGCCGCGTCAAGAGAGCAACCACTGTCATCGTCCATGCCGTCGCCGAACCAAGCTGCTGGCAACCGGCTGCCAAGAAAGAAGGATGACTCGGAACCTGAGGAGCCTGAGCCGTCGCCTGCAGACTCCACACTTTGTGCGCCCAATCGCTGTTCCATGCATGCGGGAGAGCCGAGGGACTCGGCTGTGCCTAATCCTTCCAGATTCTGAGCACCTTCTCCCTCTATGGTTCAATGGGCAGTCTTCAACTGTAGCGCTATCAAACGAGATCGTAGCACTACTGTTTTGACCATGGCTGCTGCAGGTGCTGCCCATGCCTGTGCCTGTTGAATAACTTGAGTCCCAGCGGCTGAGGACCGGACAGGAAAGCAGCGCAACAACAGACGGCCGAGTGCAGCAAATCTCGACAGTGCCGAGCACGGGCATCCCAAGTGACCTACAATCCTAAACTAAACCGATCAGCCGAGAAGCTGCCATGAAGTGCAGGAAAGCCGCTTCAGGCAACCCTTGACCTGCAATGCTGTGAACCTGGTGGAACGGGCTTGAACGCGGCGTGTCCACACACACACACGCACGCACACGCACAGAGAGAGAGAGAGAGAGAGAGAGAGAGAGAGAGAGAGAGAGGCACACACAGCTACGCCGTCGCAGTGCGTCAGCGTTTCGTTTTCGTGTCGGTTCTTTTCCATGCGCATCTCTCTGTGTCTTGGGCTTCGGGTTCGAGAGTTGGCGCTTCCGGCTTCCAGGAAGATGCTCTGTGGCCGGTTTTGGGGTTGAGGGCATCAGACGGGACGCCTACCGTCGTGAGCCTCGCGATTTCGAAGATACTGTTGCTCAGTGGTCCAAGCAAGGGCTAGTGATGGAAGTGTGAACGATTACTTTGTGCAACCTTCCCAGAGAAGCTTCCTGAAGAAAAACATCTACACTTTCCAGGCCGCAACGACGATGTGCAGCGAAAAAGCTCCACAGGAGCCCGGAGGCAGAGAGAGACCAGATGGCTCTCAACAACGAGACGGTGCCGATGCTGGCTACTCCGGCTTGTGTCTCAAGTACCGCCCCCATGTTCTTCGAGACGCACATGTCGAGAAATGCCTGCACTACCTCACTTGCAGCACTAAGCTAACTTGGAGCTCAATCGCCAAATCATGCCAAATCTTATTCAGTATTGACAGGCACGGGTCACAAGTGCGCAGTGACTGCAGGCATCTAAGTTACAAGTTGCTGGCTTTCTTCGTGTGCTGCAACTGCACGCCGCATCAAGTATCAGCCACAAGCTATGCCGTCTACAAGTGAGGTGTGTGGTGCTGACGACCAAGGCGCACGAAAAAAGGCTGAGCAAGTCAACTAACCTCTGGTAGAACAGGCCCCCCATAAACGCCTCATGGAACACATCCCAACTCCCGCAGCACAAGATCTGTGAGCGCAGAATCACGGTCCTACAATTCATGTTCGCACTCAAGGTAGCGAGAAGCAACAGATACATCTATCCATGTGTAGACAGACCAGGCTCCAGTGTTTCATGCGTCGTCGCTTGGACTGTTGCTCCTGGTACGGAAGTGACGACAATGACAACTGCAACCGCCATCATCCACTGTGACCAGTACCAATACTGGGCCAATTAGTCGATGATACACTCGTCCGCATTACAACAGGCATGTTGGTTCCTGACACACTCTGCACGATGGATACATTCTGCCGGCTCTTGGGAGCTTGATGGGGGTTCTGGCTCGGCGGTTTGGGCTTAGGGTTCCACTGGTCCATGCCCTAAACCCTAAACCCTAAACCCTGAACCCTAAACCCCTAAACCCTAATCCATGGGCTTCCACATCGGGGGCCCTAAAACAAGTCCCGAACGTGGGATCTGGGTCCTGGCGCAGATCCCGGAGGAGTTTCCAGAGAGCCCAACACTAAGAGGAATGTACAGTAGATCATCATAATACTCATGATGAGATGACAATTATGGAATAACAATACTAGAATGAGAATAACAAAGTAACAACAATTGAAAGGAAGAAGAACAAGAATCACAGTAGCGAGGGTTATGAGAAGCACTATTCTATTTGCCTAAACCCTAAACCCTAAAACCCTAAACCCTAAACCAAACCCTAAACCCTAAAGCCTAATTGCGCCTCCTTGGTTACGATGGGTCTCTGGGTCGACCAAGCCACATCCAAGCCGCCGGAGAGTCTGTCCAGGCCAGACCGTTTCGAGAGCTCTGGAGGTTTAGCGTTTAGGGTTTAGGGTGTTGGGTTTAGGGTTTAGAGTTTAGGGTGTTGGGTTTAGGGTTTAGAGTTTAGGGTTTAGGGTTTAGGGTTTAGAGTTTAGGGTGTTGGGTTGAGGGTTTGGGGTTTAGGGTTTAGAGTTTAGGGTTTGGGATTAGGGGATCTGTTCGGAGTGACGGCTGAGGTAAATTCGGCTTCAGGGCGTAAGGACTAAGGTGATTAAGGGTTTAGGGTTTAGGGGGTAAGGATTTGTTATTGACACTCACGCTCGGACCTCGAATCAGCGAGGGAAGAACAGCAGGGGTTTAGGGTTTGTACTATACTATATACTGTATACTATATACTATGCTTTACTATACTATACCATACTATACGATGCTATACAATCTACAACACTGTATACATAACACTATAGACTGTATACTGAATGCTATACTAAAACGCATATAAACTACGTACTATATACTACATACTATATGCTATACACTATATAATTTACTATGTATTGTACTGTATTCAACACCATATGCTGTACTGTATACCAATTTTGCTTCCGACGGCGCAGTCTCGAAGGGCTACATGGAAAGTGACCTTTCACTTTCTATGCCATACTATCTACTATACAGATTACCATACTAATTAGATACTATACTACATGCTATACCATATACTGTAGTGTATACTGTACTCGTTATACGTTACGGTACTGTATACTATACTATGTAACATGCAAGCACAGTCAAGGTCGGCCGGCAGACGCCGGACACTGGCAGGATGGGATCTTCGGGAATGTATCATCAGAAACCGTCTTGCCGGGTTGCCAAGCAGCTTGCAGGCTCTACATACATGGAACGAAAACTTCAACCACCGCCGAACAAGGCCAGAATCCCAACAGCTCTCAGCCGACCCTTTCAGCTCAAACTCACAGCCTCAAACTCCAAGAAAACGACCCGGCTTACGGATTTGGGGCCAAGCCGACGGCTTTGAACCGGAAGGCTTCTTGGCCCGACGAAGATATTGCCCGATGGCTGAAGTTTCCCAACTTCGAGGCTAGATACATGCATGCATGCATGCATACAGATATCCGGGGTGTACACACTTGTACATGCATTCTATATATACATGTATATATATATACATACTTATTTATTTATTTGTGTATTTATTTATATTTTGTTTATTTTCTTACCTATTTATTGTTTATTCATGTTCATGTTTATATTCGTATATCTGCGTTTACGTTCTGACGGTGTCTTCGACTACTGACTTGGGTGTCTTCCAGGCTTGGCTCAGGCAAAAATTGTCGACTCACACACTCGCACAAGGCTGGCATGGCATAGACGAGCTGCGTTTTAGGGTTTAGGGCCTTGGGGTTTCGAGTCTCACCGACGGAGACACCAGGCCTCGGAAGTTTAGGGCTTCCTTGCGTCGGGATGTACTTTGCTGCCACCGGAAAAACAAGAGCAGAAGGCAGAACCCGCCACCAGAAGATCCAAGCCCAGCATTGAACCGTGGGGTGGAGTATTGCAACAAGACTTTGTGGCGACAAGCGGACAGTTTTGTCCAACAGAGGTCGACGACTTGCCCATCCACGCTGGCTTCCCAGAAAGCACATGTCAGTATGAACGACAGAACCTGGGCTTTAACAGGCTGCCTTGGGCACATCCTCAAACCTCTGTGCCACGGGCAAGCATCAGCTGGTAGCAACCAACTTACTTCAGCTTCGTCACCCTACCTTACCGCTACATCGCAAAACCCAAATATGTTTTCATCGGATCCTGGGTACAAGCTGTGCATGCAGGACTGGCCATGACTCGTGCAAGCATCCAGCTGGATGGCAGGTGCCGCCACGTGCAGACAGATATACACTACATACATTGCAACCATTACCTTCTACATTACTTTACGTTGCACCAGATCGCATTACATTACATGACATTGCACTACATTGCATTCGTACATACATACATACATACATACATACATACATACATACATGCATGCATGCATGCATGCATACAGACATACCTACACACATACAGTCACATACACATACACGTACACATAATTACATTGCATTACTCTATATTACAGTACAATACAGGCATGGCATGGCATAATCTACAATACATTACAGCACATTACATTACACCACAATACATTTCACTACGGTGCATGACACTACATTAACATTGCATGGTATGGCATGGCATGGCATGGCATAGCATACTTGACATAAGTTATGTACATCGCATGCATTAAAAAACTGCATATATTATGAGCAATACATAACTCGCATACATGCATACCTACATACAGACCTACGTGCATTGCTACATGCCTACACGGCTACATGCCTACATAGCTACATACGAGTACCTACACATGTACAGAGGAGGAACAAAAATGCATACAAATACAAACACATAGATGCAACACATAATTGCATGCATACACCGAGACATACATGCACACATGCGCCCAAGCGCATGTTTGAACACACACACACGCAGACAGAGACACACACACACACATATATATATATATACATATGGACACATGCATACATGCAAAAATCACATTATTTAGATGCATGCATTCACACACACACATACATACATACATACATACATACTTACATACATGCGTCCATGAATACATGCGTCCACCTCCATCCATCCACCTCCATCCATCCATCCACCCATCCATCCATCCATCCATGTCTCTGGGTGTAAGTATGTACGTACGTATGTACGAATGTACCCGTGCACGTACGCATGTATGCAGGTGTGCGTGCATGTAGGTATGCATGCATATGCTCTCGAGCTGCAACATGATCTGCCGCATGTTTCGTGGCCTCGGTGTACACCACTACAACGAAACAGGAGACTGATGCACGAGAAAAATGCTACGGGATGTAGTTGTAAAGCAGTTTAACTTTGCAGCTATTCGTCTCTTGTGCCAGGTTCTCTGTCTCAGGATGCTATGCCTGCTATGCCCACATCTCGGAGCAGCCACTGGAAACTCGGCACACATTCTACAATACACCGGACCCGCCCTTCCCATGAGGTCAGACTCGCCGTTGGGAAACAGCGTTCTATCCATTTCCCCGGCACGTCCCCCCATTGGCTTGCAACACGGCCGGTGCAAGAACGCCGAGGCTACTGCGACAACATGTGCCGACAAACCATAATATAGGGTCAGTAATTGTTGGAATAGCGGCTTGGGGCCAAAACGACTTAGGGACTAGAAGCAAGTACCAGGACAAACTAACAAACCGGGCAATTCCCATGATCTCTGGCAAATGTTGCCAGCAGCAGAAACAGTGACAAGCGCAATGACTAAGCCTAGGCAGAAATGCTCAGGACTCCAGATTCTAAGGGGTATGCAGGCCTAACTGCATTCGACTTTGTGTTCTCACCATCATGCATTGACTTGTACAGTTCGCCGCATCTTCTCCATCTCGTGACGAGCGGCGTCCACGAACACCCCTGAGCTCCGTGCGACGAGGCATTCCACTTCAGCAAAGCCGGCCAAAGAGCAATAAGGCACGATTCCTAGCAGCCCAAACAAGAAACCACCCCAATCCACCATGCCAAGCCACCCGGCTGCATGTTGTGAAGCAGCATAGCCATCAAGCTGCCTTGGGAGGAACTCGAGGGGAAGAACAACCAATCACAGTCCCAGTTCCTACAGCCCTCATGATTTACGAACGCGTCTTGACCTCAGAATTGTTGACCCGGCGAGAAGAACCCCCAACCAAGTCTGTCGCCACCCAATTGGGCGCGATGTAAAGTGGTGTTGCTGCTGTTGGCGTCTTTGTCACTGTCCTCGTCTTTATGACCGTGGCTGTTGCTGTTGCTTCTTCTTGCTGCTGCTCTACCGATGCTGTTGCTACTGCTACTCCTACTACCCCTCCTCCTACTGCGACTGCCGCTGCTGCTACTACCACAACCAGCACCACCACCAGAACTGACTGAAATTATCCGTGCCTTTCTGTGAGAACACACAGCTGGCCTTTGCTGCCCTTTGCTGGTCATATGACAGCCAACGTATTCTTTTCGGGCCTTTAACAACTAGAATGTGGTCTTAAATACTTGTATTGTACAATAAGCATAGAAATTACTTAGCCCCCTATATCCTTATCTGCACAACGGGAAGTTCTTTTGACCGAAAAGATTCCGATGAATGCTAATTCCATCACAGGCACCGAAGGACATGCGAAGCAGAAGGCCCTTGAGATACTCCTGGCCACACAGGAACGAAGCGGGTTCCAAGTCAGGCCTGGGAAAAGTTCAAGAACCTCTGGGTCAGCGGTCTGCGCTGCGCGGAAGCGCCCTATCAGAATCGCAATGTGCAAGAAAGGTCTATCTCTTACCCCCTGGACCTGCGACGTGTTGCGGGGGGGAACACGGCCTGGCGAGTCCCTGGAAGGCTGGCTTTAAAGTGACTAAAGACAATGAGAACAAGAATCCGAATAAGACTGTACCAAACAAACAAGCAGTCAAACAACTGCAGCGAAAAAGGACGGAAGAAGCGCAGAAAACAAACACAAGACTAAAGCAATCCATACCAGGAAGGACAATGCCTGCAAACGGCCTTACAACCCAGAACTCTCAATCTGACTCAATACTGACATGCTCACTGCCTGAAGGCTCAAAGGCATATTTGATCCTGTGACTCGTCAGTGGCCTGTTGGCTTGGGTAAGCTTCAAAACCGAACGCCAAAGTCCCCGCCGAAAGCTTCAACTCCAAACGTTTCGGCGCTCACACTCGGACGGATTACAGTTTAGTGTTCAGGATTTCACCAGGATTTATGGCCAGGACTTGTCTTAGGCATTTTGGGGAAACCGTCCGTGCCGGTACAGCAAGAAGTTGGGTAGGCTATCATAAGACTACGTCACTCTTATGGCTCAGGGAACCCCCAAACCCCAAGTCCCAGCCCTTCTTTCATCGGCAAGAGTCTGCATCGTCACCGACGAGCTTGGCTGCACGAGGCGCGCCCGCAGTACTCCTTACAGAAGTGCTGCGTAGGATAGATGAAAGGCATCTCCAAATCTCATTCTGACGCCCTATGGTTGTATGTTTCACTTCTGGAAGCTCTTCCAACAAAGGAGAGCCAGAGAGCGACAAAATAGTCAGATAGGTAGATAGATAGACAGACAGACAGATAGATAGAAGACAGGAATAGCTAGATAACGGGATAGAGATGGACAGATAGAGATAGATAGATAGATAGATAGATAAATAGATAGATAGGATTAGGGATTGCAGGGATTAGAGGTTAGAGCTCGGAGATTAGACTATGACTAAACACGAGAAATAAGCGACAGAGCTAGCGCGCGAGAGAGACACAGAGAGACAAAGAGAGACAAAAAGAGACAGAGAGACAGAAAGACAGAGAGAGATAAAGATAGAGAGACATAGAGATGGAGATAGAGAGATAGGCCGAGAGATGATAGACGGCTTTACAGCCAAGCCACAGGGCGGCCTCCAAAATTTCGAGAACATGCTCCTGGGTGTGCTGGAGGCCCTTTAGAGATCAGAATTAATGATCGTTCCTTCTTACTGATATACTAGCAACCAAAAATATTTCCAAGTAGGGGTTCAGGCGTCCGCTTCCTGCACCATGCCCGCCCGCCGAGCCTCTGACCTGAAATAGCTTCGATTTAGACATGTACTTGATTTGTATACATGGGAACGGCAAGTCAGACTGCTGAATCTCGATGCCAATGGCTGCACACCGCGTACTCAGTTAAGCACTGACCGCGGCAGGTGCGCGCAGGCAAAAGCCCTCTAAGTTCAGATTGAAGCACAAAAGTCACTGCGAGGATCCTGGAACTTTTTCTGCCTGCCTCTGCTTCGTTGTATAAGAAGAAGAAGAGCAGCCATAAGAGCAACAAGACTAACAGGAAGAGCTGCAAACTCACAGTAGCACTGGACGGAAGACCAGGCATCAGTGTAGCACTGATAGTAGTAAAAACGACAAGAAGTTCATGACCCGCATCCTTGAATCGAGACCGCAGCATGCACTCTTCGTCTGGGCTCTTGTGGCTGAAGCTTCCAGAGCAGCTGGTATGAAGGATTTCTGGGTTTAGAGCTTATAATAAGGTTGGATAGGGTTCCATGAGGCTTTGGGAGTGTGGGATTTAGGGATTGTTTAGGGGATGACAGTCCCTCATCACCTTCAGTCTCCTACTCCAGCAGTTTGCTGCCATGCCACCAGAGTATCGGCAGAAAGGTGTGTAGCCTTGGGTTTCAAGCAGTTCTGATTGCCTTCGAAGGAAGGGGTGGCTCAGAAAACAGAGTCGAAGCATCAGGTCGGCGTATGCATCAACACTGCTTCATTGTATCCTGGCTCAGGCATGTAGTAATGAAGATAATCACCTTCCGTCGCACTACAACAACCAACAAATCTGTCATCAGCACTCTGGGCTCAGGCAACCCCAATGCTGTACCAAAGTCCCGAAGCTTTACACCCGACTTCTTCAAGTTAGATCGCTGCCTGAAACCCGGACGAAACCTGAAGCTTGGGATCCCGTATGCCGTGGATTCCCTGCATGGGCATAGGGGTTTCCCCACAATAATAACAAATACAATACAATACCATATATTACGTATAAGTGTATAAGATAGTACAATATGATATAATACATGATGATATGGTATAATCAGTATGATCTACTAGTAATGTTTCCCCCAGGTCGACCAGGAGCAGCTCCGATTTGTTTAGCTTGCGGAGAACACTGCGCTGCCTCTTCGGCCGGGAGGCTGTAATGTAGGGGCCTGAATGATTAGAACAAGGTTTTGGGAATTCCTTATTATAACTATTGTATAATATACCCCAAACCCTATTCTAATTATTAAGGCCCCTATATTTGGAGTAACAGCAAGGCGGGGTCTTGCGAACAAGGGATCTTACTGCTTCCCTCTCCGAGGAGGTGCGGGGTTGTTGATTCCTCATCTGGGGGGTTTAGAGTTGAGGCCTGGTGGCCCAAGTTCTGCAAGTTGCGGAAAAAGGGGCAGAACGCAGAAGACCGAGTTCGAAAGTGTCATGCCATGTGCTCTCCATGGGAGTACGTCAATCTTCTTGTGTTCTGCGAGTCTCGCAAGCCTTTGGCCTCCTCATGTCACCCAACCTCCCCGTCACTCCATCGACGTAGCTGAGACTTTCGAAGCTCAGTTGCTTAACCCGTTAGAGAGTTTTGGCATGGTGTCCCCCTCAAAGGCCAGAGTTTCCCCTGCCTCCGGTCCGGCAGGCGCGGACGCTTCTCGTGGCGTAGATGGCAGTAGCCGCAGCTGTCCCCGTTCTCGCACTGGCCGACTTGGAAAAAGACACCTCTCAACCATGTCATGAAATCCCTACGGTAAGCCCCAATACAAGCACCCGTCGGTCAAGTATCTCCATAGAACTCGACACGTAGAGTCTCGCAGGGAATTGACCTGTGGGGTGATGTGTTCGGTCTGAGCTGGGTCATGGGTCTGAACAGGCTGTCCCCACTTTCCGTCCAGGCACAGGGCTTGCGGCAGACCTGAGATGCAGTGAGGAGTCCAGGGTGTTGCTGCGCAAAGGGAAAACACGGGGGAAGGCCGGCTGCCAGAGCTTCTGAGAGTCTGCTGCGCAAGCATTTAAATATTTCCGGGAAACTTCTCTTACATCAAACGACCCAAGATGAGGACTGCGCGTTGGTGTAGGGCTGCTTAGAAGCATGAACTGGCACATCAGCCGGCTAGGTACCACCGTAAGTGACACCCTGTGACTTAGGGGTAGCAAGCTGTTGTCGGCTTGACACCGTCCAAGACATTGGCCTGTGCTTCACAGCTTCCCCCAAACCTTCGAGACATCAGCCAGCTCTGACGCTTGCAATGCCTTGTAAGCTAAACCCTTTTCCACAGGCTTGAACTGAGCTAACCCTAAACCCTAAACCCCTAAACCCTAAACCCCTAAACCCGTAAACACCCTAACCCGGGGCACTTCGGATTCAGCCTTCGGACCTCTGGATGCCCATAGCTTCCAGGATTGGCGGCTTGATGAACACCTTCAATCACGACCTGCTTGGCTGCGCATGGATCTCTCGAACTCTTCGGACAGTTCAGAAGGTGGTAACGGGTTTTTGGTGCTTATCAGTGTGTGGATGTGCTGCCGTTGCCGACTACATCGCTGTCGCCACTGACTGTTCTCTTCTGAGGCACACCGCGGCGGCGAAGGTTCAAGGTCTACGGGCTCCCTACTGTGGCAAGTGTTCGCACGTAGGGCTCTGCATGTTGCGGAAGGAAGTCATCCTCCAGCCTCGCTTTAAAGGGAAATTACGTAGACTGTTATTGGGGTGAGGTGCACAGCCCGCTCGTAAAGCGGAACCTCGTGGTCTTCCGCGTGCGCCGGCGACACCAGTGTCCCATCCGCAGGTCCGCATCCAGAGGCCGCCACTTCTTGCAAGGGACTACAGAGGGCTGTGGCGAGACGGCTGAGGACCAATAGCTGAGCCTAGGAGGTGAAAACTATGGTACTTCGGTTTGGTACCAGCCGAAACCGAACTCTTGACATTCTTCGGAGGATCTGACAGTAAGAGCCGTTCGAAAGGATTGAGCTGCGCACGATCTAAATCTATGCCCCTCATCGGCAGCGTGCTTCAAGAATGGCCCCTAAAACCAAACCATTTCGGCACACCTTAGCTGATCCTTTGGGCGACCGTTTGCCAGTGACTTGGACCATCAGTTGGGGGCATCAGAGACTGGAACGGGTAGAACAGCCCTGATCAATGTCGAACAAAAACCGACACGTGTATCTATTTTTGAAACTTTTTATATTGTGTACATACCTCCAGTGAACTTTTATATGTATGTGTACATATATACAGAACAGAGAGAGAGAGAGAGAGAGAGAGAGAGAGAGATCGTGGTTTGTAACACCTCAGAGTTGATGCTGTAATTGGAAACGAAACCATGCACGCGCGTGCGCCCAACGAGCGACCAAGTGACACAGAAACCCACAGCCACATCCCCAAAATAGTACGGCAGTACCCTAAACCCTAAATCCTTAAACTCTACAACCCTAAACACACAGACGACACGACTCGAAACATGCAAAACAGATGAACATGGTGGGTTTCAAGAACGCAGGCCCCGCAGCCTCCTCTTCTGTGTATATGCATATACATACGTACATATCCATATATACATATCTGTATCTATATATCTTTTTATGTCTATATACATACATACATACATACATACATACATACATACATACATACATACATACATACACACACACATATATATATATAGGGATGGTTGTGCGGTGTGGCCCCCTCCCCCGTCCCCACCCACACTCCCCCCAATGGTATCCCCCCAGCTACAAGGTCCTCAGGGCACCTGCCAGAGGGGATGCTGGGTTTAGGGTTTAGGGTGGAGTGGGACTTATGTAGCTGACTAAACTCCGAAGCTCAAGGCCAAAGCCGTGAGAGGGGATGATCACATGCAGAACCATTGGGGGAAGGCCCAAACCAAACCACCCAACCTTTCCACAAGAAAACTCAAGGCCCAAGCCGTAGGGAGGAGGGGACCAAATGGAGGGATACCATTGGAGGGGGAGGGCGGGCGGGGCACAATCATAATAATATATATATATATAAACAGAATAAATAAATAAATATATATATATATGTACATATACTTATTTATGTATTCGTGTATTTTATGTATTTTTGTGTATTCATGTATTTACATGGGTGCGTGTCTCTGATACAGTGTACAAACAACAACAGGAAGTGAACAAGAACTGCTTTCACAAAAGTAGGCAAACAGATTTCGCGGTCCTTCTTCCGCCGCGGCCTCTTCCGAGTTCTGAATCTCTGACCCCGACACCTTGGATGCGGGCTCCCCTATTTCGGGAGTTCGTTTCCAGTTCCGGACGCAAGGCTTGGGGCCTTTGCGACGCCGAAACGGAGAAGGGCTCCCATACCTCCGACCCGAGGGCTCCCAGGCGTAAACTCAATACAGTAATACAGAATAATCCCTAGGGCTCCAGCTACCTAAATAGTAGGTTACTGGGGTACATAATATATGGTTAGTAACCCACTATTTAGGCAACTGGAGCCCTAGGGAATTGCACAAACCCTACACTCTAAATCTCAGACATGACGCCGGGAAGTCCCAGCTCGTGGTCGGAGACCAGATCTCGGACCGCCACTCCTCCATGCGCGTGTAGACGCTCGCCAAATCCTTGCTCACCTCCGAGGCTGCGCCAATCTGCATTTGCGCAGCGAGCGCGGGAGTGACAGAGAAAGAGACGGGGAGAGGGAGCGGGAGGGAAAGAGAGAAGGAAAGACAGCATTGTCCACAAAAGCAACCCCACACTCAACACGGCGGAGAGGCAGCACCTGCTAACCCAACGCTATTGCCTATCTCCTAAGCACGGAGGTTTTGACATTGAAGGGGCTCGACCCATTGAACAATGGACCCGTCCAAGCCTTGTATTCGTCTGTAATTTAGAGGTTGGGGGGGTTAGGGATTGGACTCTGCCACTCGGACGAGTCCAAGCGTGGTTGTTGCTTCTTCTTCCTCCGCCAGGCAAGACTATTCCGGATATCCGGATTTATGGGAGATTTCCTTCCGGCTGTGCTTCCAGGGGACCACACGACATGTCGTATGGCTGCATTGGCAAAAGCACCGCAAGGTGTGGTTCCACCTTTCCTCCGCGACTACGACCGTCTTGCATTTCTGCTGGCTGAAGTTGGCTCTGTGTCAGAAAGCTTCTCTGCTTCTCTCGTTCTCTCTAATCTACTCTTGGCTGTTCTTGCTGTAAATCAGCTGCTAGTGACTCCTCCGCAATGGGTTTTGGGTGATTTTTTAACACCTGGACTTGCTTAAGACCCCGGACCTATTGATCGAACCCCGCAGGACTAGGTGCCCTTAAACCCCACCTGGACATCCTCATCCTCCCCGGCACGGCGCGCCGGAGGAACGCTGTTGCATCGCAACAGCTTCATGCATGGCTCGGCTTCGATGTCGATGAAGGTTCTTCGGTAGCACAGGGGCCTTGGCTGCGACATGCTGCGACCATCGAATGCCAGGGAGCAGTACCCACCACCAGGCCTTGAAAGCACACCTGCCGTAGATGCTTTCTTATAAACCCGAATTGTTCGATGAACAGCCAAGGCACAGCATTCTTGCGAAAAGGACAGACGCCGGTTCACAGGATTCCGTACAACGGTGTGCTCGTTGGAGCCAAGACTGTGCCAGCAGTCTATCACCAATAACCAAGCTTTCAATACACACCCGTGGGTTGCGATGACAGCGATGCATGACCATACTAATGATGAAGATTCGCTGGAACCCTCGAGCATTCCACACGAATGTGGTTAAAGAGCCAACCAGTGCCAACCATCAATGTCTTATTTCACGCGGCTCTTCGCAACCTCCTGTGCCTTGGACAGCTTGAAACTGGACTCCTTTGCACAGGAAACTGCCTTGCGGCCTTTTACAGGCTTGGAGGGTCTATGGTTTATGTGGAGTTTAGGCTTGTTTGCGACGATGGTCTGTCCTGGGACTAACAAATCGTGGTGGGCTCCCGAAATTGTGGAATTGCCAAGAACACCTCTTGCAGAGGGACTAGCTAGAACAGCCTGCGAGTTGCGTACGGCCGGCCTGCGAATTCTTTGGCTGTGCGCTAGGGCTCACGACCCAAATCCACAGCAAACGGGAACCCTTCCCGGCCTCCTGGGGACAGACAATGCATCTTGGATGCAGCCATCCCCGGAATGTGTACAGACACTGCGGGCTTCCATTTGTAGCAGCCCATTTATCTATCCTGGAAAGCAGCCATTCATCGGCTGCCTATCTCGCTCCCACCGTGGCCTAAACTTTCAAGAAACGAGCCCCAGTTGAGCGCTGACTCATCCAAGTTCTGCGAGGTCGACATCGCCATCGACCTCTTCAACTTGCACCTCCGGCTGTCAAGAATCCGGATTTGAGGCGGAAGTCGTGCATAGTGACAGATGGTGTTCTTCGTGCTTCAGAAATGCCTGCGCAATCGTCTCCGCAAGCAGCCTCCACACCCCCCCCCCCAGTGAGCTCGCACGAACCTAGGTTACAAGTACGATGATACATCTGGTTCCCTGTTACTGTTGGGGATATACTCTAAATGGTCATTTTTGATCCTTATTGGGTTTTCTTATAACAAACATGTTCAAAATCGTGGCCAACAGGTACCCAGACATTGTGGTGCAGCACGCCATGGTAGAATCATAATCATCACCGGCCCAACCCCCTGAAACGCCGAACCC